GCCCTCCCCCAAGAATCCAGGGCTCCGCTCCAGCCCTCGCCCGTGTGCGCACATCTGCCTCCCAGCTGTGCCTTGCTCCACCCCTGGGACTTTTCCATTAGCGCCTGGAAAGGCCTGTGCAAGGCCTTGCCCCCCCCCTTTTTTTTATTCACTGGTCACTGTAGGACTCTCTATCTGTTGCGAAAGGCTGAGGTCTGGTCATCTAGGAACTGCAGAGATGTTAGTAGACTATTACTGTGGGGCATGTTACTGCAGTCTAAACAAGTGTCCAGCTGCTAAAGGAATGCCAGGGTGATTTTGGGTACAGGTGGGAGGAAAGAACTTGAAGAAAATAAGAATTGAAGGGAGGACAGTAAGAAACAGAAAATTCTAAATACTGGATGCCTTCTGGATAGTCAGGGTGGGAAACAGTTTGCCAAGAGAAGAGCTGTAGCTGAAGTTTGTTTCAGGGAGAGATGTCTGTATTGGCTGATGCCAAAGTAACCACTTTTTTTTTTTAACTGTTTACTTCTGAGTCCCTCAAGATTTACGTACTCTACTGTCCCCTGGGATTGCTATCCTTGCATGTAAATACTTTCCCTCACACATAAGTTCTTCCCTTCACTTTGCTCATCTTTTGCCTGCTTTTCCCTAAAGATAAAGCAAAACGAATGTTCTGCTGCCAAGATCCTTACTCAAAACAGTCCTGCAGCTTTGGGATCTGGAGAGTTACCTGACCTTTCAGCCAATACACCATTTGCATGTTTAAGGCATTTGGGTATTTTTGTGTCTCAGAGCGGGCACCTTTTCATTGTAGTTGCATCCTGTGGCTCCTCTGTCTGACCCTATGTAAAGTCACCGTGCAGCACAGGAGACCCTGATTTCCTGTCTCTACCTCCCCTTCTGTACTTCCATTTCACATTCCACTGAGGACTCAAAATGGCTGCAGATAGAAGATCCACACAGTTATTGCCATCTGTGGGGTGAGATCCAGGTGGATAGAGTTTTCAGGTGTGGGTACATACTGTACATAGTATTTCTAAAAAGTAGGGGGGGTTTTGTTTAGGAGAGATAATGGATTCCTACTTTGTACTGTCACAGCTTTTACTGTGCTACAGCTTCTATTTTAACTGTGTCACAAAAGAAGGAGCTACCTTGAAAATCTTTCAATGCTGTTAATAAAAAACGCATGGCTGTGAAGGAGTTTGTGCAGTGAGTGTCCATCCTTATGCACCCTTGTTTGGGCTCTGGCTGCAGAGGGACTTGCTGTACTTACACTAGTCAGTGGCTGTGCTGCCTGAAGCGTTGCTCTGACTCAGCCTGTCTATCGTGCTACAGGAGTTTGCTACACAGCTGCAAAGAGGTGCTGGGTAAGAAGAATGTCCCCAGGTTGTTTTCACACCAGCTGGAGTCTCGTCCTGTCAAACCTTCCTGAGTCAGGGAAACTGGGGAAGAAGAGAGATAAATAGGCTCCTGGGAGATCTGGGATGGAGATTCTCATCATCTCGTTCATGTCTGTTCAGCATGATTGGAGCTCCAGCCTGTATATCGATCTATACACTAAATGAAGTCATTGTGCATCTCCTGGACTCATGCCCTGGACCTGGGTTTTGTTCTGCTGACTTTGTCTCGCCTGTGGTGGTACCTTGCACACATAGTTAAACAGGTTCATGTCAAAGGAGCGTGGGGGAGAAGTACATTTCTTGTCTGCCATGTTAGGATTTCTGACAACAACTTAAGAGGGAACAAGTGTTTGTAAGTGTGCTTTGGAGGCAGTTCAGTGATACCAGTCTAGATCTGTCCCACTCAGAGGCACGTGCTGTTTTGAAGTACTCATCAATGCTTCATATTTTGTATGTCTCATTCCTCTCAACAGATGCTCCAGCTGCTACAGCCTCGGCCCCCACAGCAGAAGTTGGTACTTCTCAGAAGGTCAACCAGGTGTTTGAACCGGCTGATACCTTGCCATCCCGGAGCGAGGCTGCTGCTGTGCAGCCCGTCATTGGGATTAGTCAGAGAGTACAGATGAACTCCAAAGAGAAGAAGGACTTGGGGACACTAGGTACAAACACAGGATCGTGTCATGGATCCATTCCTGTAATTCCAACAGGATGGATTTGTTTTGAGGCTCTGAAAGCAAAGCTATAGCTGGATCTACTGCCTCGATAATTTTGCCTCTTTCCTTTCTCTCTTCACAGGATATGTGCTGGGGCTGATCATGATGGTGATCATCATTGCCATCGGAGCCGGTATTGTCGTGGGATACATCTATAAGAGGTCAGTGGCTGTTCTCCTTTGTCCAAAAGCTGGGGTAGGCATGAAGTCAGGAATGTCTGAGCACCTGCAGACCCCACCAGATCCTAATGAAAAGGTAGAAGCATATGTTTTCATGTGGCAAGAGTTTCGCTTGTCGCACTGAGGAAAGAAATATTTAAGAGTTAAGCTCATTCTTCTCTGTCTCACCCATCTGTGGTATTCTGTCCCATCTAAAGTTTCAGACTGCTCTCCTTATTTTTTGTTTTGTGTGTGTGTGTGCACACCCATGCCTTGATGTGGCTTTCTCAGATGCATTAGGGGAGCTGAAATTTACGTAAGAGCTGAAGAGAGCAGATCCACAGGAAGTCTGTGTTGTGATCAGAAAGAGAACAATCCTTATAGCAGGCCACTTGTTTCCCTCGTTTCTCTAGCGTAGCTAGCTTTAGAAGATAAACAATTGGCAAATTATCTGTATTCTATGAAGCTGAATAGCAAGTAGCACTTTTTTTTGTCAAAGTTCATTTTCCCAAAGCTCCTGTATACTTTGAGGTCACTTTTGATTCATACTTAAGTTGCAATTTGTTCAGCCACCCACTTCACTCTGTTGGGCAGAAATGTTCCTGCAGCTCAGCAGCGTTTGAGGTTAGTGGTAATAGCAAGCAGCTGAGTTGGAAGAGTCAGGGCAGGAATAACAAATAGCAGTGAATGTTGCTGCAGCAAGTGAAGGCCCAGGCTCCCTCCTCTGGGAGGGTTTGTTCTGTGTTTTGGCTGTTTGACAGCAGTCTGACACAAGCAAGCAGAAGGAGCCTTTTCCCAAGCTGGGACATGTTCTTATGTAAGTGTTTATAATAAATGCCGACAGAAAAAAAAAACAGAGGGAGGAGTGTTACATAAGGGGCAAAATACACAGCGCTGCTTGTCAAGGAATCTGATTTGAGGGGTCACTTCAGAGAATGTTGTCTTGTGTGCTGGCAGGAATGGCAGCCACTGCTGCACGCGTGTAGGCTGCTTTGAAAAGGAGCCAAAATGCTTATGTGCTGACAGGAAACACCAGCAGCTCTGCCTGGTTGGGATCACAAGCCCCAGAAGGAGCGAGTGGTGCCTGTCCCACCTTGCTCCGATCTTGCAGGAAGAAGCAATAGAACGATGTTGAGCTTTATCCAAATGCAGCTTTGCTGCTTCAGTCCCAGAGAGCTCATAGCGGGGCTGTAGTGCAGGTTTACTGTCTCTCTCTCAAAATTGTATGTGCAAGCTGGCAGGTTTGGGTAGGTGTGGTGAGAAGCCTTTAATCGGTTTAGTAGCTTTTGGTATACATAGCTTTTCTGGAGACAACATGCTATTAATGCCATCCATTTTTAAAGCCAAGCAATTCTTTCTCAGTACAAATTACAGAGGTGTCGCCTCCCTTAGCAACAGCCTGAAGAGTGCGGTAGGTTTGATGATCTGGTCGTGGTATTAAGCTGTTAGCTGCAGCCACAGAAGGCAAGGCCAGCTCTGAAGTAAGCATTAATACTTTCAGTAATGGCTTAATTTGCTATACAGGTCTGTTTGCTGCAAAAAAGGCAGAATCTGTCACCACCTCTGGTATTTGTTTCGATCAGATGAAGCTGATTACGGAAGCTCTTTTGCACAGCAGTGGGTTCTGCGCTGCGTCACTGCTCCCCTGGGCCTGCACCAGGCAGTGATATGGGGCAAGGAAACATTTTATCAGCTCCATGGTTTGAAGGAGAAGCCTGGCTTTACAGTCATCACTTAGCTGTAGCTATGTTAGTGGATAAGCCAGTTTATGAGGGAGGGACAGACTTCACTTGGCTGCTTGGTTCTTAAGGTGCTCAATGGGGACTTCTGCTTACAGTAGGGAATGTTTTGGGACCTTCATATGTAGCCGAAACACATTTCTTAAAGAGCAGAGTCCCTTCTTTTCTACTATATTACCTTTACTGAGACTCTGCCTCCAAGCAGCGGCACTCACCTCATGCACATATGTTTGTTTGGTTTTCTTAATCTAGGGGGAAAGACCTGAAGGAAAAGCATGAGCAGAAAGTTTATGAGCGTGAAATGCAGCGCATCACACTGCCACTCTCAGCGTTCACCAATCCTGCCTGTGAGCTTGTAGATGAGAACACAATTGTGGTGCACACTAACCAAACGCCTGTGGAGGACACGCGTGACGGCAGTGGCCTGCTGATGGGGCAGGCGGGTACTCCGGGTGCCTGAACAGCTCGGGCAGGAGCGATACAGGCTGAGCAAAGCCTCCAGCTTCCCACTGTGAGTGCAGGGGTTGCGTGTGTTCATTTGTATTTTGTTTTCTTTTTGATGAAGGTGAAGCAGAGGAACACCATTCAGTGCATGACCAGCTGGGGGCTGGTGTGGTGGACCCTGCTGCTTCCTCCCACCTATCTCCATGGTGTGCCAAGGAGCTGGGGGGGATGATGGGCCAGGCTCACAACTGGCCGCAGATCCTGTAGCACGGAGTGTAGTCGGTTTCCTCTTCTTCTGTTCCTTTCCTGTTTAACGGTGTGCACTGTTACTTAAGTTTCAGCCTGGAACCCCAGGAGGAACCAGTACTGCAGGGACTGAGGGGAGCTTCACGTCAGACTTAGTTAGATAATTACACTCTGATTATAGTTCCTGCCTTTTTGCTGTAGTGGCTGAGAGCTGGAGATACTATCCAGAATCCTGCTACTGGATCAGGTTTTTTTTTCCAAGGAAGAGTTTATTTGAGGGATGGCTTTGTCCAGGAGCAGTATTTTTAGTGTCAATTTGGAAAGGCTATTCTCAAGCTCTTGACAAATCCAGGTCTTCCAGGGCTGAGGCCACATCTCCATTCCCCTGTGGTGCTACATGCACAGCCACAGCTGTAGGTGTGCAGGTGGTGTTTGCTTCCTGCTCACTTACAGAGACCAGGAGACCAAAGGCCAGCAGTAGAGAGTTGTGGGGTGAAGAAAACAAACTGCCCTTCAGTTTCCTACAGCAGGTTGAGCACTGAGCAGAGATAACATCCCCTTTCGAATTGCCTTGGCTTTCTATGGAGCCAGCTCTGGACGGAGTGGCCAAGCCAGCTGTGGAGGTCACCCCAGTCATGATGCAGCAGCTCTGGACATGGCAGCACAGCTGCTCTTGCAAGATCCCAAAGTTATGGTATGGCTCCTGGCCCAACCTCCTTCACACACACTCAGCTTGTGCAGCAAGACTACTTGCTTACAGAGCCTGGCCCTTTTAGAGAGGTTTTGTAACAACTTTTGTTAGCATTTCAGGGAGTTTGGAAGCAATGGTTGCTGCAGTGTCTCCCAAACGGCACAGAAGCAAGGCCAGTTCAGGGAAACATCCATCCCCGCCTCAGGGGATTCAAGCCATTCAAGTAAGTTTTCTAGCCATCTGCTTTATAGCTGTGGGCCTAAGAGGGAGCAGCACTTGGCAGCAGGGGTTTTACTGTTAATGTTTGATGCAGAAAAGGGAAACATTTTATTTTTAAATGCCTTTGAATACCATTTATTTGTAAAATGTTTTAAATACCTCATTATGAGAAGGTGCAGATTGTGCTACCTTGTATTAAAGCTTAAAAGAAAAATGCTCTGTCGACCTGTGTGGACTGTTGCTCATCTGTACATTCTTCCTGCCAGAAGAGCATCCTTTTGCTTGTTGCAGAATTTGAATTGAGAAGGGAAGATGCCAGACCCAAAGGTAAAGCCCTAGAAGCAGTGCCACCACCCACCAGCACTGACAAGGGGCATGGAGCTTGTCTCCTTGCTGCCAGCAGCTAGTCGTGGACTGGGACTGTTCCTGAAAAGCAGCTGTGTGTGTCAGCTGTGCCGACTAAGCAGGCTGGCCCATGGGAACACGCTCTGTTACAGCCCCTTCCTGCACTGACGCAGGTCCGTTCTGCTTTGGTGCCACTCAGCAGCAGCTCTGTCCCTCGGGGCCTTGCATTGGAAAGCGAGATGGAGACAGCACAACAGGTTACAGGAGGCACTGACACAGCTAGTATTTTCATTCAGTTGTTGCCTTAAATGTCCCATGATCTACAATATTTCAGAATTAAGAGGTTTCCAAGAACAGGCTGTATTTTTATCCCTGGGTCAGAAAAAGAAAATGGAGAAGGACTCCACGTTTTGCTGGCTCCTGTCCACCCTTAAAAAAAACAAGCAACAAAACTTCTCTTTCCATCACTCCAGGTAAATAGTACTGTAGAGCAGTTGCACTCCATCGCTGTAGTTCTATAAATGTGTCGGAGCCCTTTGGCTCAAGAAAGTCTGTTCTAGATGATACCTGACCTCTGCAGTTTTGATGTTGCCGTTTCGTGACGATAGAAACCCGAGCATGTTACAGCTTTCTGCTTTACGTAACACAGAGACAACAAAATATTGTTTTCATAGCATACATTTACTGCTCTTTAATTTAGTTAGAACATGGAGCTGTGCAAATCACAGTTCATAAACCCACCCACACATCACCCAGGATTCTCCCTTTCAGGGGTCCCCTCACAAACCAGACTGGGAGGGGGAAAGAAAGGGCAAATCCTATTAACAATCAGGAATCCACTGGACCCAGTTTAGAGAGGCTCCTCCACTGACTCACAGCACAGGGAGTCCCCAGTGTTTCTAAAACACCACTACACAGACTAACCCCCCCGCCCTGCACACCTTTTGTCAGGTGAGGGCTGGTCCCATGTTATTTTACATAATACTTTAAACTCATGGGTAGGGGGAGGAATTTAAAGTAACAGGAAAGACTAACACCAATTCCTCACCATTCAATACCAAAGGGAGAGCGGGGAGGAGAGAAAGGAGCACACTAAAAATCCAGTTAAACCATGATATTTGTGAAACTTAAGAGCAGGACTTGAGCCAGCTTTTTGTTCAGTTCTGCCAACCACATGAGCTACTACAGCAGTAGCTTTCTTCCTTCTCCCACTGAGGGAGGAAGAAGAGAAGTGCTGGAAGAAAATATACCCCCACCCACCTCTCAATGACTCCAAGCCCTTTTTTTCTCCCCAAAAGCAGGGAATGACCCTGAGGAAAGTTTCTGCTTGGAGAATCAGCTCAGGTGTTGCAGCAGCAGCTGCAAGAAGGACCTTCAAAGGAAGCAACTTGCACAGCCTGCAGGAAAGGATGAGGTAATGGCAACTAAATTACTAGTTCTGCAGCTGCCACTCCTAGGAGGATGGGACATTCTCCAGCACTTTTCTGTTCATGCCAAGTCCATCCTTTTAAGTAACCTTGGGCATGTCTCCCTTTGCCATTGTCCATGTACAAAGTCTGAGCCACTTCAGACCTTCAGCTTTCTGAAGAGCACCTTCTGCCACACTTTCTGTCACCTCATATCCACAGGCCGAGAGCTCAAGCAGCTTCAGCACTCCTGGGATGTCCACAGCCAGAGCCTAGTGCAGTTCCACACATTCAGGTTCAAACACTCTCACCTGGGTTAAGGTTCTTGGGCAGGCAAACTCACTGTGCAGGCTCTGGGTCTAAAGATGCTCAAGTGGCTCATTTTCTGCCTGTTTTCACCATCAGGAGGGGCAAGCAGAGTTCAGTCTTAGTGTTTCTAGACAGGCCTTTGGAGGTATTCAGAGACAGAGGAGGAAAAAACCCACAAAACCAAACCAAAACAAAAATTCATACACGCTTCCCCACAGACAAGGTATTTCAGGAGAGCTGCCCAATTCCTGGGGCTCTTCACTCCCTCCCCTGATGCACATTGGAGGCCAAAATCTCAGTGGGTTGTTGTGGAAAACACATGCACAAACACACACACACACACACACACACACACTGTCCTTGTGGGGCCTTTCACTGGATGTCCAATGTCCCCAGCTTTCTGAGCAGGGCAGTCCGTGGGAGAAGCAGTTCCAGAAGTGCTGGTCCTTGCCCAGGAGAGTCTCCTACAGCAATTCCCTCCCTGGCAGCCAGACCAGGGTGGCTTCACAGCTTGCAGCCAAGTTCTAAGGCACCACAGTAAAGAAGCCTGAAAAGGCCAGAGAAACATTTCTCAAGCCAGAAAAATAGTGTTGAGCAGCTTTCCTAGGTGCAGTTGGCAGGAAACAGCCCTTTTTGCTTCTGAAACACACCAGAAATCCACAGTGAATCAGGAGGTCCAAGAGGAGGGGTGTCTGGTGGGGAGAGAGAGGCAACGCAGCAAACGCACAGTGTGGTGCCCCGTTAATGCCCTGGAAGTGGCTGAAGTGCGTCTCCCTCCCTGTCACTCCACTCCAACAGAAGCGGTGCAGGCAGCAGGATGAGCTGGCTAGGTTGTGTTTTCAGGTAGCTTGTCACGGTTCAGTCCGTACTGCACGCTCACATTGTGGTCCAGCTCCTCCAGCTCAGATGGAAGGGGGATGGCAAGTTCTCCCAGGTAGAGAGAAAGCGCTTCGAAGCAATCTTCCAGCTTGGAAAAAGGGGGCCTAAGAAGCAGTAGTGAGGAAATGTGAGTGGGAATGAGGAAGCAGAACAGCATCTGGAAAGGCTAAGCCAGTTGTCCATCCAGGGTACTGTCCCGTGCACAGAGGTGTGAGCAGGGACACAATCCCTCCCCATTCAGCTTCCAGGATTGCATAGATCCCCTCTGTCCAGACTACCCATTTTTGCAGCCAGTGACCAGGGAGATCCGGCTTTTTTGGAACCTACTTGGCATCAACACTGTTCTGAAGCTACAAGTTTCACAACTGAAATCAAATGAAGTATTCACATTTCAGAGCTGTTGCCAAGGTCTGCCCCTACTTTTTGTACATGAGAAACCCTGAACAATCACTCCTCCTATACCCTCTCTGTCTTGGAAATTGTTTCAGAGACCTCTGCCATATACAGCGGTCTCTCTCCCAAGCTGATGTGTCTTTAGTCTCTCCTCAGCTCTTAAGCATCCCCACAGAAGGCTGGAATACAGCCCTCTCCCACCCGCTGTGCAGAGCAAGCCTTCCACCAAGGGGATACAGACACATCCTGCAGGCTAACAAAGAGGAGTTCTCCAGACCCCAAACCCACCTGCTCTCTGGTTCCAGTCTGCAGCAAATAGCAGCCAGAGGGAAAAAGGCTGGAGGACAGTTTTTTAAACTTCTCCCAGAACAGCTTGACATTAAGGCCAAAATCTAGTGTGCGTGGGAGACAGTCAGGGTCAGCATAAACCTGGCCTATGATCTAGGGAAAAATGAGAGGAGCACTTAAGTACAGGAACAGTTCCAGAGCATTAACAAACAGGGAATTTCTGCATCGGGCAGAGGCTCCTTCAAAGTACT